ACTTTCCTCAGGTGGAGCATCTTCGCTCAATGCCATGCTGATGTAATCCAGCTAGCATTAAATTGACCACCAGTTCTTAATCCATAACAGGCAATAAGAGCTGCTCCTGTACAGATACACCTCAGAGACTCTCTTTGCTCATCAGAGACAATATCCTTTAAGACCCAAAATTAAGAGAGGATTAATACCTATAACTAATATTCTAAGCACAAGGCTTACGTGAGCCCTGTAATAGTTCGTGCATGTTCCAATCTTGGGAGTTCAGAAACCCAATGGGAAATGGAGGTTGGGGCAGGACCTCAGATCGATAAATGAGGCAGTAGTGCCCAATCACCCAGTGGTAGTGTTACAGATTAAAAACTGGTGGTCAATTTAATGCCAGCTGGATTACATCAGCATGGTGCTGAGTATAGATGTCCCTCCTGAGGAAAGTTGCCAGCATAACTGAGACAAGGAGAAGGAGAAGCTATTGTGTTGAGGCATTGTGGGTTCTCCCACAATGCAAGTTGCTGTTTGAGCCATTGGTTCTCCTGGAGAAGCTCTTGTCCTCACATCATGCATTGTTTCCTGGCTCTGGAGAGGAAGAGGTATGCTGTTTGGTCTTCAGGATGAGCTTGTTATTTTGGTTTCCTGGCATGTACTCAACTGTGCTTGCTGTTGGAGGAGCTCGGGGCCTCTTGTGTCACTGAGGATATTTGTGGTGCCTTTCAGGACAGCCCTGGTCTTTGTTGTCAGTGTGACTTCCCAGCTCCAGTGTAAAACCCTCACCCCACCAACACAGCTCCTTCATCCTGCTGGCATAGACTTCCTGGCTTTCACCGCTGACCCTTGGGCCTTCCCAGCATGGGTCTGGACTGGCATGAGTCCTTCTTGTGGGCTCTGGATCTCTAGTTGGACTTGTGGGAGGCACAAGTCTCCCACATGAGCTCTGGGTCTTCATCTGGACTCATGTGGGACATTGCTGTGGGATTCAGGCCCTTGGCTGAATATTCCATGTCTTTGGTGTTGCAGATAGATTTCCTGCATTTTCTTGTGTTAACTATAGGTGACCATCATAACAATAATATTATAAACTCCATGTCCTGATTCTAATTGTTCTTTGCACAATCCCTGACTACAACAGCTACCCAATCTGTACATTCTTTTCTCAGATCCCAGAAGATGCCAGTTGGTTTTCCATGTTGGATTTAAAAGATGCCTTCTTTTGTATTCCTTTACACAGATTCTCAGTTTCTTTTTGCTTTTGAAAACCACAGGGCCAAGCATCTCAATTGACATGGATTGTGCTCCCCCAAGAGTTCAGAGATAAACAGTCCACATCTTTTTGGACATGTACTTCCCCATGACTTGGCATGTTTTGAGTTCTCTCATGTCACACTCTTGCAATATATAGATACCATACTGTTTTGTGCCCCCTCAGAAGAGCTCTATAGGCAAGGCACTTGTGCTCTGCTAAATTTTCTAGCAGACAGAGGTTATAAGTCTTGTAATCCACAAATGAGCCCCCAAACTCGAGTTCAAAAAATGGGGCAAAAACATGTTTTAAAAAGCAGCGCTGATTTATTTTATCCTGGGCCCAGCAACACAGTGCAGCTGGAGTTTGTAAAAGCTGTGTGAGTTTTTGAAACTTTTCTAGCCCCTTTGTAGATATCACAGTTTACAAAGTAAGGGGTTATGGGTGTGGATCAGGAAATCTGCTAAGGAAATATTTTCCTTAGCAGAGGATAGAGTAGTCTAACAGTAATTAACAATCTTTTGTTAGCTTATTTTAGAACCACAACTGTTATTTGTAGAGGGCAACAGTGGTTAACATATCAATTAGGTTAGGTTTTTAGGGATTTACAATTCTTTATAGAGGGGAGCATTGATTAACATATCAAGTAGGTCACCCAGAGGGGGGGAAAAACCATAGAACAGTATGGCAGCCTTACAGGTACTTTGGTCATATAAACATAATGAAGCTCTTTTTACTAGTGTACACCAATAAGGTCTCTAAATCTAAGGCACAACTTTGCTGTCTTGAGGTAAAATATTTAGGCCTCATTATATCCAAGGGAACTGGAAGACTAGGACAAGAGAGAATTAAACCCATTCTCTCCTTCTTATAGCCCAAAACTCTAAAACAGCTAAGGGAGTTGTGATAGCTTGGACCCCGGAATAAAACCCAAGGAAGCAAGAAATTAAAATTTGGGGAGCAAAGGCTTTATTTTAAGCCAGGCCTGGTGACACAGCCTCTGATAGCCAATTTGGAGACTGTGTGCCCCAGAGACTGAATAAAGGGATTTTAAAAGCAGGAGAGGGAGAAAAAAAACCCCACAGAGCTGTTAAGCTGTTGACTTAAGTCTGGAAACTGTAAAGCTGTCCACTTAGTTTTGGTAATATCTGGAGCCTTTGGTACCTTTAAGTTACTCCCGTTCTGCAGATAAGCATTATCTCGGAATAGCACATCTGCAATAACATTCGAAGAAGAAAGTAGAAAGTTCTACAGTATACGAAGTTGTACTCAAGGATTTCAAAGAAAGAGACAATATGGTAACTACTTTTAGGTTAGGATTATCTGGTGGTGAAACACTATTCTGCTTAAATGGTTATGTTTTGATCTGCGCTGTTTCATTGTTATGCCCTCTTTTATCTCAATCTCCACTCCATTATTTACTTTTTTATCTTTATCCTTTTAATTAAAGGAAAAAAATAGCAGGATATATTATAGTAACCCACTTTGACTTTTCATTACCTTGATTTAAAGCCCTGTATTACTCTCACCATCTGGTTTTTAACTGATGTTCCCCTATTCTGTTTTGCTGGATAGTATCAGGTTCGAAAGTTTAGGCATCAACTGTGAAGATAATGAGATTCATTATGACGCCCATTCTTGTTGACTTTTATCTACTTTTGAAGACCTACAATATCTCCAATGTTTTGGTTTTGTCGGTTTTATTCTTTACTGTTTTGTTCAATTGTATTATAACTAACGATATAGGCAATTCTATTAGAGATAGCGGGAGGCATTATAGTAACCATTGTTGATCACCTTGTATTATGTTTTTACATTATCTATTATGTCCACCCTTTTGACTTGACCGATTCTGTTCTGTTATGTCACATTTGGTTTTACTCTCTTCCAAAAAAGTAATAAGAACCGTGGGAGCAATGAAACCCAAAATGTGTAATAGTCATGGTACAAAAGAGAGGAAAAGAAAGTGCTCCAAACTATATAACTGCATGTATATTTAAGTGTATAAGATAGAAAATGATATCACAGAGTTTTATTGGATCAATGAACAGAACTGTTTGCAGTATCATTGATGGAATGTCCACTCTACAAGCTTTAATTTTGTGACTTGAACAATTATTTCTAAGATGACAATATGTAATCCATTAACTAGTGATTTCCTACTGTTCATTTTTTTTTCTGTAAATCTGTATAACTTGTACCCTTTCCCTGCTTTTTTTTTCTTTTCTCCTTAAATAAAATTTTAAAAAAAATGTTTAAAAAAAAAAAAAAAGAAAGTAGAAAGTTAATTATTTTGGGACAGCTTGTTAGCAATAACATGTGGAAGGGGGGAGGTGGTTAATTATCTCGGAACAGCTGGTTAGCACTAACATGTGAGAAGGGGTTGAAAGTTACAAGAAGCTGAAACTTAAGTTTTTACAAGGATTTGAAACTTAACCCTTTCGGTGCTTACAGAACAAGAGGAGGCGCATTGGTTAGAGTTAAGCCATAACATTCTTCCTGTAATTTCTTTGAAGTTAAGCATTTCTTAAGAACAGTGCAATTAGCACATAATTATAACAGGCACATTTTATGACAGACCACCACTGGGTAGGGAAGGGGGTTACCAGAAACTGAAACCTAAGGCCTTTATGGCTTTTTAAGAATTTGAAACTTACCTAGATAGATAGGGAGGGAGAAGGGGGAAGGGGAGGCAGTACGTGGAATTACAGAACAGAAATATGGTGCGATTACTTTTTTTTTTTGGTGGGGGGAAGAACAAGGTCAGGTAAGGGTTGTGCTAACAAGCAAGTCTCCCTGCATACAAGCAAGTTACCCTTTAAACAAGTTTAAATTAGGAAAACATCCGGTTTCCTCAGCAGAGAATAGAGAAGTCAAACAGTAATTAAGAACACCTGTTAGCTTATTTTAGCACCACATCTGTTATTTGTAGAGGGCAACAATGGTTAACATATCAATTAGGTAAGATTTTGCAATTCTTTACAGAGGAGAGCATTGATTAACATATCAATTAGGTCGCCCAGAGGGAGAAGGAAAACATATATACGGTATTGCCATGTTACAGGTAATTTGCTATAATACAAATATAACGAAGCTATTTTTCTTAGAGTACAACAGGGATTCGTAGTAGTCACAGGCTTTTGCCACCTTTGGATACCAGTATATGGGGAGATTGCACCACCCCTCTATCACCTTATAAAAGAGACCCAAAAGGCAGATACCCATAGTTTATGCTTGGAACCTGATTCCCAAGCCGCATTCCAGAAGCTTAAACAAGCACTTCTGAATGCCTCAGCCCTGAGCCTACCCACAGGGCACCATTTCAATTTATATGTAGATGGGAGGCGAGGCCCGCTTTGGGAGTGCTTACACAAAGCTGAGGACCTGCTCAACAGCCTATAGGTGTCTGAGCCATGAATTAGACATTGCAGCTAAGAGATGGCTTTGCTGGCTCAGAGCCCTGGCATCTGTAGATCTCTCAGTGTCAGAGGCAACCAAGCTGACTTTAGGCAAAGATCTCGTTGTGTATACACCTTACAATGTGGCAGGACTCCTTTCTTTCCAACGGGAGTCTATGGTTGTCTGACCGACTTCTTAAATACCAGGCTCAACCTCGAGAAGCCATTCAAATAAAGACATGTTCCTCAAATCCCGCCACCTTCTTCCAGGACAGGAGGAAGAAATTGAGATTGATAAACATAACCATGAACAGGTAATTTTTCACAAACATGCAGCCAAACAAGACTTAGACACCCCTCTTACTTACCCTGATTGAACCCTTTTCTATGATGACAGCTCCTTCATGGAAGATGAAAAGAGAAATAAGAAAGGCAGGATGTGCTGTGGTGACTACACCATGCACTTGAGAGCGCCCCACTTGCACCTGGAAGTGGCACCCAGCTAGCAGAGCTCACGGCTCTGACCAGAGCCTTACAACTCAGCAAGGGACAAAAGGTCAATATTTGTACTGATTCTAAGTATGCTGTAGTATTACATGCTGACACAGCCATGTGAAAAGAAAAAAATTAACCCACAGCCAATGGATCTCCTATAAAACATAAGGAGATTGTTGTACTCTTAAGAAAAATAGCTTCATTATATGTGTATTATAGCAAAGCCTGTAACGAGGCCTTACTGTATGTGGGTTTTCCTTCTTCCTCTGGGTGACCTAATTGATATGTTAGTCAATGCTCTTCTCTGTAAAGAATTGCAAAACCTTACCTAATTGATATGTTAAATTTTTTTTTTTTTTTTTTACCAGTACCAGGAATTGAACTCACAACTGCCTGCTTGCAAGGCAGGTGCTTATGCTGCTGAGCTAAATCCCCAGCCTCAACCATTGTTGCCCTCTACAAATAACAGACGCAGTGCTAAGATAAGCTAACAGGAGTTGTTAATTACTCCCTAGGCTTCCCCATTCTCTGCTGAGGAAAACAGGATTTCTTCTTATCTAAACTTGCTTGTATGCAGGGAGACTTGCTTGTTAGCACAACCCCTTACCTGATCTTGTTCTCCCCAAGGAATGTAATCTCGCCATATTTTCTGTTCTGTAATGCACTGCACTGCCTTCCCCCTTTCCCTACCCGGTGGTAGTCTGTCATAAAATGTGCTAATTGCACTGTTCTTAAGAAATGCTTAACTTCAAAGAAATTACAAAAATGTTGTGGCTTAACCCTAATGCACCAAAAGGGTTAAGGTTCCAAATCCTTGTAAAAACTTAAGTTTCAGCTTCTGTAACTTTCCATCCCTTCCCACATGTTAGTGTTAATGAGCTATCCCGAGATAATTAACCACCTCCCCCGCTTCCACATGTTATTGCTAGCAAGCTGTCCAATAATTAACCTTTCCAAATGTTATTGCAGATGTGCTATTCCAAGATAATGCTTATCTGCAGGATCGAGTAACATGAAAGGCACCAAAGGCTCCCGATGCTGTCAGAACTAAGTGGACAGCTTTACAGTTTCCAGATTTGGGTCAACAGCTTAACAGCTCTGCGGGTTTCCTTTGTCCCCCACCCCCCCGCCCTTCTCCAGCTTTTAAAATTCCCTTCTCCAGTCTCGGGGGCGCACAGTCTCCAAATTCGCTCCCAGGATTGCATCACCAAGGCCTGGCTTAAAATAAAGCCTTTGCTCCCCAAATTTTAATTTCTTGTTTCCTTGGGTTTTATTCCGGGGTCCGAGCTATCACAGAGATAAATCTTTTATTACAGGCTGTCTTTCAAAATCAGATGACATTAAACAGTCTTATGCTGTGAATACTTATGCTGTGTATACAGTCCTGATTCTTCTGCTAATATCTCAGTAGCTATTTAAGATATTAGATAACAAGTCAATGACATGTCAGACTCTAAAATTGCCTGGACTTTATCCTTATAGGAATTAATTCCACTGCCTCTTGGTGGAAATCTTTGATAACTATACTCATGATTATCTTGCTGATTTTATTCTTTGGCCAATACATACTTAACTGTTTCTTTGGCTTTTATCTCCTCCAGACTTAAAGCTGTATACTTACCCAAGATGAAAGTGGCTGGTGTCTATCAAGGCCCTCTAGACAAGATCTCTGCAGAAGTACCTCTGACTGCTATTCAACCACTATGGTCCCCTTCAGCCTGAAGAAGCCAGATTGGTCATTGCCAATTACTCCCTCAGGCAGTTCAGGTTACTTCTTCAGAGGGGAGATTGTTGCAGGCAGTGAGTTAATTAAAAATACTATAGGCAGTGAGAGAGGGCTAGGTCCTCAAAGGAGCCAGTGCTGAAGCCCAGACACCTTGCTCTATGGAGGAGATAGACACCTCCTGCTGTGGGCCAGGCCTCAAGACAAAAGATCAAACAAATGCATCCTCATCCTAAACACTGATATTCTAAATAGTTCCTTATCACCCTGAGGAAGCCAGGAGACACCACCCCAAACACCTAAGGAAGAGTCACTGCTCTCTAAGAATGCCCGTTTTCTATGTGACTTGCTTCCCCATTTGTCCTCAATTTAATCACTTTTACCTGAACTATTAATCTTATTGGCTAACCATATAGTTCTGTCCCACCTTATGCCCATCTGCCTTGTGAATCCCCAGTTTTCCCCACCTTGAACCCATCTCACCCATGATTTTACTCTATAAAAGTCCCTAGAAAAGAGGTAACCTGCTCGGGACCCCTTTTGTCTCTCTCAGACAGAAACTTTCTTTCTCTCAATAAATATATTCTGCTCTTAACCTCCATTGTTCCTAAAATTCATTCTTTGATTTTAGAGAACATGAACTCGTAGCACACATCTAGTAGGTCGGGAGTTTCTTTCCCCTGTGACAATAGTATAACTGTCTTCTATTTTGTTGTTTTTCCATTTCCCTTTCTTCCTTTCCCCTTTCCCACATCCAAGTTTGTTTTTCCTTTTGAACAATTTCTTCCCATTTCACAATATCTATTGTACAGTTTGTATCTTACACTTTCAATTTCTCATACAAGGGAGACAATATGATATTTACACATGTGAGTCTGATTTATTTCACTTATGAGTATTGTCTCTAGTGGCATCTATTTAGCTATAAAAACTCAAGTTTGTCCTTCTTTGTGGCCGAGTAGTAGTTCATAATATAAAAAGACCACAACTTATTTTTATCCATTCCTTGTTCAATGGACATTTTGGTTGTTTGCAATGTTTAGTTGTTACAAATTGTGCTGCTATAAATATGGGTGCACGTATACCACCATGTTATGTTTTTAATTCTTCTGGGAAGATACCCAGAAGGGGAATAGCTGGGTTGAATGGGACCTCTAGTCCTAGTTTTTTGAGGAGTCTCCACACTGATTTCCACAGTGGTCGCAGCAGTCTGCATTCCCACCAACAGTGGAGAAGGGTTCCTTTTTCCCACAGCCCCACCAGCATTTGTTATTAGTTGATTTCCCAATAATAGGCATCCTTTCTGGAGTGAGACAGAATCTCAGTGCTGTTTTAATTTGCACCTCTTGAATGACTAGTGATGTTGAACATTTTTTCATATATTTATTTGCCATTCATATTTCTTCATCTGAGAAGTGCATATTCATCTTGAATACCCATTTTTGGGTCAGGTCTTTGATTTGATCTGATTAAGGTCTGATTTTCTTTTTTCAATTCTTTATATGTTCTGGATAGAAGTCCTTTGAGGGACAACTGACAAAAATTTTTTCTTACTCTGTGGGTCTTTTCACTCTGTTGGTGATTTCTTTTGAAGTGCAACTTTTTAATAAAACGAGGTACCCATTGTTTATTCTTTGAAGTATTTCTCGTGCAATTTGGGTTTTGTTCATGATCTCTATACAACTACATCTAAGATTTCTACCTACTTTCTCTTTGAATATATTTAGTGTTTTTACTTTAATATTTAGGACTTTGATACGTTTTGATTTTACTTTAGTGCATGGTGATAGACATGGGTGTTGGTTTAGTTTTTGGCATGTGGGAAGCTGGTTCAGCTTTGGTAGTTCATATGTATCTAGGAATCTGTCTATTTCATCTGTGTTTTCCATTTGTAGAACCAGAAATTTAAAGGTTAAAAACAAGATGCTGTTTCTCAGCTAGAAACAGCACTGGGCCTCGTGACTCAGTCCTAACTCAGCCCTGCAAAAATAAAAACAACCTTTGTGGCTGTGATATGCTGGGGATGTGCTGTGCCAGGGAACTCAGAGATAGAGCCTGCCATTATGCTAATCAGGGTTATAAAATATGTCAGACTCAAGTCTACAGAAACCAGGTGTCTTAAAGACAAGTTGTGCAGAACAAAGACAGTTAATTAACTCTGACCTGCTGGTCACCCCTTATGAACTGACCAATAGCAGATAGATAAGATGTCCACCGCTCCGCACTAACTGTAATGATTGGCTTCTGTAATAAATGCTTACATTGCAGTTTTTCCCCCTTAAAAACACCAGCCCTGCCCCAACTCAGGGTTCTCCGGTTCCACCTGTTTGGAGGACCCCGTGTACACGGAATAATAAAAACCCCTTTGTTTTTACATGAGAGCGAGGCCCTTGGAGTCTTCCTTGCGACACCGGTCTAACACATTGTGTTAGAATAAAATTTCTCTAAGTAGGTATTGATGATGATCTGGATTTTTGCAGATCTGTTGTGATTTCAACTCTTTCACTTCTCATTGCAATAATTTGAGTTTTTTTTGTTTTGATAAGATGTCTAAGGATTGATCATTTTTACCTACTCTTTCTAAGAACCACTGTTTGATTCATTGATTCTTTGTATTAGTTTCTTACTCTCAATTGCATTAATTTCTGCTCTGATCTTTATAGTTTCTTCCCTCATATGAGCTTTGTAATTGACTTGTTTTTCTTTTTCTAGAAGTCTGAGGTTCAGCTTTAGGTTGTTTATTTGTGCCTGTCCTGTCTTCCTGATGTGAGTATTCACCACTGTGAGTTTCTCTCTAAGGACTGCTTTCATTGGGTCCCATAAGTTCTGATGTGTTGTATCAACATTTTCCTTTAATTTTAGACACTGTTTAATTTCTTCAACTTCATCTGTAACCCGTTGGTTGCTCAGAAAGGTGTTATTTAACTTCCATGTATTTATGGACTGTTTGTGGTTTCTTTCGCCATTGATTTCCGGTTTCATTGCACTATGATCAAATAAATAATATGCATGGGATTATTTTGGTTCTTTTACATGTACTTACACCTGATCTATGGGCTGGTCTATGGTTGATTTTGGAGAACGTCGCATGTGTAGTTAAGAGTGAGTATTCTGATGTCATGGAGTGGAAAACTCTGTAGACATCAATTAAGTCCATTTGTTCAGAGGTTTGGTTCAGTTCTGATATTTCTCTATTGATTTTTTGTCGAATTGATCTATCTATTTGTGATAATGGGGAGTTAAGTTCCATCATTACAATTGTGTCAGTGCATATTTGATTTTTCATATCCATTAATATTTGTTTTATATAGTTTGGGTGCTCCTGTATTTGTTGCATATATGTTTATGATTTTAACCTCTTCTTCTTAAAGTTTTGCCTTAACAAACATATACTGACCTTCTTTATCTCTTTTGATCTGTCTTGGCTTGAAGTTCATATTGTCTATAAATAGAATAGCTACCTTTGCTTTTTTCAGAAAAAGCATTCCTGTTGTATAGAATATTATTTTCCATCCTTTGACTTTCAGTCTATGAATTTCTTTTGAGTTAAATATGTTTCTTGTATGGGTCACCTTGTTGGATTTTGTTTCTTTATCCATTCTGCTAGTTTATTTCTTTGGACTGGTGAATTGAGACTGCTTACATTGCTGGTTATAAACGACATGTATTGATTTATCCTTGTCATAATTTCATCTGCTGTTGGTTCCTTTTCTTTTCCCTCTTTAATTCCTTGCCCTGCCTTGCACTCCAAGGGCAAAAGGGGAGGGACAATGTCCATGGGTCAATACAACTTTATTGACTGGGGACCTAGGAGGGTCTACTAGGAAGAGCTAACCGTGTTTCTGATTGACCAGAAGCATCATGGAGATGGGTCAACACACCAGCCAGACAGGCCTTCCTGGAGGGGGAACTTACTGGGGACAGTGCAGGATTTAGCGCACCAGTCCCTCGGGCTTTAACTAATGACAAGCCTGGGCCCATGAGAAAACTACTGTTTGGAGGTTGGGGATATCGTTCAGTGGCGTGGTGCCTTCCTGGAAAGCATGAGGTCCTGAATTTGATTCCAGTACCAAAAAAGCCTCCCCAAACAGACAAACCCTACTGTTTGGAATCTTGCCTTACTTCATAGTGTAGGAAAAAATATGGACGGGTCATGGTACATACCCACTAAGGACACTGTTACAGCCAAAGAATTTAAATGAGTATTGACTTTTTAAAAAATAATTAAGTTTATTGGTACAATTTAGATCCATGTGCATTTACAATCCTTGTGTTTCCTCTTATGGAACTACAGTCTGGTATGAAACTGCCCTTACACGTACAAACTGTACTTTGTCATCACATTCAAGTGGGAGAAGTTATTAATAGACGTTTAATGGTCCTGGGACGCATGCCAGGAGTGCGGGTTCTAGTTCACCTAAATGAGCCTCAGTCTTGCACCCTGATGCCATGTCTTTTATAGGCCCTAGTGAAGTGTTGTCAGCCTGGAACTAAAAGGATGACTGGTCTGATGAGACTGGACTAGCCACTCTAGTACTGCTGACCCAAGTCTGTCTCCTTGGTTGCCTTGGCTTACCCCATCCAGAGAGCTCGCTTTATAGATCCCTGGACAAGAGCAGCAGACAAGGCTCAGAAGACAGAGCATTCAGTAGACACCGGGCTTCTTTCACAAATCAGCATGCTAATGAGCACCGTTTTTGGATGGGAGATCATGTAGACAGTCTTGCTATAGACGTAGCAAGGCCTCCAGGGTCACTCTAATGGTACCGGTTTTGTGAAACGCTCTACCCCATCATGGGTTTGCTCATCCATGGGAACACTTTAGAAACATGTTTAAGGGGCCATGCATCAAAATATGACTTTGTTTGATCATTTTTATGCCTACATTTTGTAATCTGAGCAACTACTTTGAGAATAAAAATATGCAGTATGGAAACCATTGTTAATCTCCTATAGTGTTGACTTGAAATTCTGTACCTTTTAATTTTTTCTGTTTCTTTTTTTAATTTAAAAAGTTTAAAAATATATATAACTCTGGACCTAGATGCTTTACAAAAAGAAGTATTGTATATAGTTCAACAAACTCAAAATTTTGGTAAAAAAAATACAGGATTGGGATAAATTTTTTGATGCCCTCAATCTGCTGTATCCTTTTAAATATCTCCAGGCTTGGGGATGACAGTACACAATGTATGTATCATTGTTGCCCAGATTGACATGTTTTAAAATTTTGTGGTAGCTTTCTTCTTTTTTTCACTTTTTATCTTTGAAATAAAATGGACTTGAAAAATGAAAATAAAAAATAAAATAAAATTACTGATGAAAAAAATACCTCCAGGCTCACCTGTGGTTTTATGCCGCTGTGCACATAGTGATGGTCTCTGGCTTCTGGTGGTAGGCTCAGTCTGCCACACAGGGGCTCAGACCTGCCGACCTTGGGAGGCTCTGTGGCCACAATACTCTGATTCAGGTTTTCAGTCAAATTCGCAGAAGGGGAGCTGGTGGGGACCACAAATTAGAAACCGAAGACAGAATATGTCCAGCGCTTCCTTGAGGCACTGACCTCTCAGCTCCCCTTTCCTGTGTTACTAAATTTGCTGCTGCCTTTTCTTCATCCTTCATCACACCCCTCAGACAGGCAGTTGGGGACCTTGGCTGGGCTCCCGAGAGTCAGGCACCTCCTGGATGCCCCAGGGTCAGGCTGGTCTGAGATCCCAGTAGGGAGCTGAATGTGAGAACCTGATCTCATCCCAGGAGACAGGTCAACCTGGTGGCTCCTGGCTGGACCACGTGGGACACTGCTTGTTTGTTTGTTTGTTTGTATGTGAGACAGGGTCTCACTGTGTTGTCCAGGCTGGCCTCACACTCACAGTGATCCTCCTGCCTTAGCCTCCGGAGTGCTGGATTTACAGGCACGTACCACCATGCGCCGTCAACACTGTGGAAGTCTGTATCTCAATCAGAGAGGATGCCATGTGTCAAGGACGCAGGACAGGTTTACACTGATGACAACTGTGAATGTGGAGTCTCATACACAACCCCAAGTGTCAAAGGTGAAACAACCTGGAGAGGAGAGACACACATCAGAATGGTGTTACCAGTGACGATGATGACTGAAAGAGAAGCAGGCCAGCAGTGCTAGAACTGTCAGGAGACGCTGCTGAATCCACACGAGTACACCAGGGAATCATCACTACACATACGAATTCCTAGGAATGAAGGCACAGGCTGAACAAGCCCTGGGGAGGGCAGGAAGAGGAAGCTTTGCAGGAAGAGCAGAGAGAGTGAGTGACTGGGGAGCTCTTGGGAGGTGCAACCTAGGAAGAAACACTCACCACATGCAAGGGTGTGTTTGTGCCCATACCGTGCCCAGAGGGGAAGGACAGGCATGGGAAGCAGAGTGTGAGTCCCTTCTCTCCAGAGGACTTAAATGTTGTCCTGGCCTCTGTCCAGATGCACAAACTGGTTTCAGTTTCACAACGTGTAAGCACTTTAGGAGGATGCCCATGGGAAACAACTCCCAAGGGGCACCTCAGGGGTTGTGGGTGAAAGGCTGGGACCCCAAAGAGCCCCAGGATGCACCTGCCACCCAGCCAAGGCCCTTGGCTGACCTGGTCCAAACACAAGCCCAGGAGGTCCCGGCCTTAAGCCCCAGCCTGTGCTGCGGGCTCATGGAAAAGCCTGGCCAGGCGAAGGTGGGCATGACAAGAGGGTGTGAAGGTGGCTGGTCACTGGTGACCTCTCCACCCCTGCTGACATCTGGGTTCCTAGGGGCTCCCTGGGGTGGGGCCTAGCCTCTGGCCTCTGTGCCCTTCCCACTCTGGTAGCTCTAGGAGAAGCTACTGCTTTGGAGATGCACTGAGGCCTTTGCCCTCTGCTGCCCAGCTCTGGACCCTGGCATTGCTGACCAGTGGACTCCTGGAGGCTTTTGGGAGTGCAAGTCACATAACTGCCCAGTCACTCCCCCAGGTCACTCAGCCTGGAGACACTCTGTCCAAGTCCCCCAGCCCATCTCCTGGTACTGCACTCTGGGACCCTTCTCAGGTCCTGCATGTGCTGTGCAAGGACTTCTGCAGTGTGGCCATCTGGCTTCGGGGAGTCCTGGCTTGGGCTCCCCAAGGGGCAGGACAGGGCTGGGCCAGGAAGAAGCTGCAGTTGGGAGGGGTGGGTAGTGGCCAGGGGGGCCCGTCAGGGGTGGCAGTGAGCACTGGGCCTGGCAGCCCCGCCTTGGAGCACAGGGAGCTGGTGGCAGCTGCAGCGTCTGGAGCTGAGAGCAGAGGTAGGGCCAGCTCAGGAGCCAGGCAGCCACTTCCTTCAGTGGCCCAAGGGCAACCAGCTCTGCTGTCACCACCAACATTGCCCAAATGGCCCTCATGACAGGCTCCCAAGCTCTCAGAGCTATGGTGCAGGAGCAGGACACTAAGCTGTGTACACGGCTCACCCTGAGGACCAGCATAGGAGATGTCAAAGCCACCAGGGTGCTGTCTGCAAAGCCCAGGACCCTCATGGGGAGGAAGCAGAGGAGAGCAGGACAGAGCAGGGGTGGCAGGACAGGGCTGGGACTCTCATGCTTCCTGCTGCCCACCACCCACCCTGCTCTGTGTCCCTGTCCCACACCCAATGCCACCCTCTCCCCATCCCACTACTGAGCCCTGGGCACAGAAGGGGCTGGGTGGTCATGCTGCTTGCCTCACTCTGTTTGTCCCCAGCACAAGGTGGGTCCTACTGGCCCTGATATCTGGGGCAGATGGACACTTTCCTGGCCCTTGAGCAAGGACCAGCCCTGCCCTGCTGTCCTGGACATGCCTCCTGCCTCTCTCTGCCCACCTCCTCTCTGTGAGCAGCTAGTGACACATTCTAACAGAAACCCCTTAACACTGGCACCCCCAGGAAACTCCTGGAGCCTTCTGTGAACACAGCAGATTCCTGAAACTCCAGCTCTTCCCAGAAGTACCTCCTTCCTGGACTGGGACAGCCCTGCAGCTCTGTCTCCTCCTCCCCTCGCCCCACCCCTTTGGTCTCTCAGTTTTTCTGGCTGGACAGGTTCAGAAGCTGGAGGCTGAGAAGCAGTTGGAGGTTCTGGTCCCGTGGGAGGAGGGAGCAGGTGAGTGGCTGGGAGGGCAGGAGGTGAGGACTCAGGGGACCAGGGGCTCCAGGGGTGGGGGACTTTGAGGGGCCAGGGAGTCCCTGGCTATGGCACTCCTGGTACCCTCAGCACCTGTCACTCTGCCTCAGAGATGAGCAGGGAGCCAGGCAGGTTCAGGGTCACTAGCCAGGCATGGAGCAGGCAGAGCGGACAGGACAGGCAGTTGGGGTGTGGTAGCTGAGGGACCTGCATCTCTGTGGGGCCCTCAGCTGGGCCCTGGGAAGAGCAGAGGTGGCACCATGCTGTCCTGGGACAGGATGGATCTGCCCCACTGTTCCATATTGTAAACCTAAATACATCCCAAATCCAAGTTCTGTAATCCTTTTTCTAGTTTTCCTCACAATCCCAAAGGTTATATTTGTAATCCCATTGAGACGTGATTGGAATCCTAGCGAGCTAATTGCAATGTACCACCTCCAATCCAATCCATGGTGAGAGTAAAAACACCAAGACAGATTTCAAGTTAAGGGTAGCCAAGGTGACCTAAGTCCAATCCTCGTGAGGACATGGGGACAAAGGCCTCCATCCTAGGCCTCTCCCAGCATTTATTATCTTGTCAAGAAGAGGGTGGCTCAGGGATGAGTGATAGTGAGGATGGTGGAAATTATGTAACTTGAGCTGACTAGTCAGGTGCAAGAGTGGCATCAATTAAGGTAGCAGTGGAATTGTTTTGGGGGCTATCACTTTGATTTCTGATATGCAAACTCTTGTGCTCTGGGGAGTCATAGCCTCTTATCTTATCCTACCCAGTTGATATTCCCGGAGCTATTTGCTCTAACATCTCGAGTGCTCAATCCTGTATTGTGGAGAGCACTATATGAGGAAACAGGACTGTCTGATGGCTATAGATTTTGCACATTAGCACCTCGCTGGCCTTATTTGCAATGCTCAGAGCCAACTGAAGCGAAGGAAATACCCTAGCCAGCCTTTTACATATCAGTATAAGGAAATGAGTCTCCAAGTAATCAGAGTCACAGCAATTGTTTTGGACTCAAAGAGAGTCACTGGAGTTGTCTCTCACAGTTCCAGACAGGGCCAGTGCACTCCTGGACTCTTCACGTTGTCTGCACAGATCTGTACATACCACACACATGCACGAGTATATGCACACTCACAGGCATGGAGCAGGCACATGCACGTGCTCTTATGAGAAGCCCTCTGGTTCTGGGCTCTGCAGACAGCTCCCTGGTGGCTTTGATGTCACTTATGGTGGTCCTCAGGGTCAGCTGTGAACAGAGCTTAGTGTCCTGCTCCTGTACCACAGCTCTGAGAGCTGGGGAGCCTGTCACAAGGGGCAGTTGGGCAGGATGGTGGTGACAGCTCACCACCATCTGGAGGAAGTGGCTGCCTGGCTCCTGAGCTGGCCCTATCTCTGCCCCTCAGCTCCAGACCCTGTGGCTGCCTGTGCTCCTTGTGCTCCAGGCAGTGTTGCTGGGCCCCGCTGCCCACACTGCCCAGCCCTTACAGCTGCAGCTAGTCCTGGCTCAGCCCCAGAGTCAGATGCCCAATCATAAGAGCCCCCAGGGAGCAGATGCAGGGCCTGGCAAGGGATCCCACCAAGACCCCGAGGAGCCCACATGGCTCACCTGGGCGTTTGGGGGGCATCCTGAGCCATGTCCCACTGGAGTGGGGTGAGGGGGCATGCAAGAGCCCAGAGCCTGTGCTGTCCCCCTCTTCCCTGCCAGTGTCCAGGCTTGAGGCTGTGCCTCAGCGGGGAGAGAAGCCTGAAATCTCAGTGGGTCTGGGTCAGGGTTTCCTCCAGGAGCTGTGCCAGGGCTTGAGCCCCTGAGGGAGCAGAGGCAGGCAGTGGGCCAGGCCTGCACCCTCCCCAGTAAGGTGTGGCCTGTCCATGAGTATTGGGTGGGAGAGCACCCCAGGAAGCCCACTGCTTCATGACCCATGCAGGCCAGGTCTGGGGCAGCAGGAAGGCCAGGGAGGGGACTGACCGCGGTCCATGGCCAGCAGGGCCGACGAGGAACGTGTCGAGAGTCCTGGCAGAACCTTCCAATATAGGAAAAATGTTCTGCCAAAATATCACCAGGGTGAGGTCCATGTGGACAGGTCTCACCAAGCCCAGCCTCTGGAGGAATTGCCCTGCCTCTTTCTAGAACCAGAACGGTTCCCAGCAGCACGGAACAGGGCTGAGCTGTTTCACTGATCCTGGTAGCTGCTGCTGAGTGCCACGCAGAGACAGAAAGGCAAAGGTCACTGGCACCTCAGTGTGGTTCAGGGCTGATGTGGGCTGGTTTGGGCAGCTCGCAAAGCTCCTGCTTCTGAGAAAGTCCAGAATGATGGGAATGTTCTAGCCAGAAATCAGATCTAAGGAATCTTTGGGGGCTACCCTTTAGGAAGAGCAGAGGTGGCACTGTAGTGTCCCCAGGATGGGCCAGAGCTGCCCCTCACTGCTCTAGAGGAGGATTGCTGGGCTCCCGGACTGGGCACTCTGCACACTGCCCTCACAGATCTTGATCATGCAAGTGCACAGTCTTGCTCACGTACACCGGTAGACTCAGTGCACTCCCAGCTGCGAGCTCTCATTAGCGGCCTTGTTGTGGGGATTCCCCTTCGATATACGCACCACGTACACACACTCAGCGTGCACACACAGATTCACTCAGAGGAGACAAGTGCTGGGCGGGACTTCCCCTAACGCGGCTCTCAGCTCCCTCCCTTTGTCTCTTTGCTGTTGGTTGCCAGGTACTCTCCCGACCAGCTCAGCCCCACTGCCCTGTCAGCATCAGCGGCACTGAGAACTGAATCCCTGCCCTGGGCAGAGGCCTGGGATTCCAGAGGCTAGTGCTCCAGTTGTAGAGCCTTGGGGGACAAGTACTGAGGCTGTTGCTGCTGCTGAACCCAGAGCAGGAGTGGGACAGTGCAGCCAGGCAGATGGGAGAGCTTGAGTCAGGAATGAGGCGGCAAGGCCTCCAACGGGGCAACCTAGCTGCCCTTCTGTGGTCCCTTCAAGGCATTCCTGAGTCAACTGTGCAGGGGCCCCAGCGGGCGGACCTCACAGGCCTTGGCCTCTGCAGGGAGCTAGCAGGGCCTGTCCCACAGTGTGGCCCGCAGCAGGCCTGGGCAGTGTTGTTGAGCCTCTCCTGTAGTCTAGGAAGTGTGTGGCTCTCCCCATTCCCTGCAGTTGGCAGGACAGCAGTGCTGGCCCCCACAGATGCTGGTGGGAGTGAGGACCCACTGTGCATTCCTGTTCCCAGTGTACCCAGCCCGAAGATGAATCAGTGACCAGCCTGTATGCCCAGAGGCCCAAGGAGCTGGGAGCTGTGTCCCTAGGTGTGATGGGCTGGTGTGTCCAGGGTGGCTGAGGTTTGTCATTGTGGGGACTCTGCAGATGCCACGGCTCCACTCCCGCTGTGATGTGCAGATGCCAGCTTCACGGGTGGTGTTTGGAAAACCTGATGTCTTTCACTCACCCTGCTAGTGCCAGGGTGCCACACGCCTTGTCGCCCCAAGGCCCGCTGAGCTGTGTGGCCACCCGTTACTTTCCCAAGCCTCCTTCTTTCTGTTTTTTAGCTGTGCATCTTACTCCCCTGGGCTTCTTCCTGCAGTCAACAGAACAACACTGAGACGGAAGGCCAGAGGGTCTAATCAGAATGCATGACACTCTTGCTTTTGAATTTCAGATAGTAAATCTGTTTAAAATGTGTCCGTACCAAATATCGCCATGTCGTGCCAGAGGTTGGCTGTTTGGCTTTGTTTGTTAGTACTGACACATTGAGTTACAGCAGCTGAGACAGTCTTGCAAGTGGCTAAGGTGCTCTGGCTGAGCTTGAACTTGCAATCTGCCTGCCTCAGCCTTCCAGTGCTGCATGAGAGGTGTGTGTCGTCAGGCCCAGCTGGGTGGTTCATCCGAAATTTCAGTGCAACTGAGGGTATTGGATGGGCAGTGTGTGGCCACCTGAGAGGGCCCAGTGTAACCAAGGCAAGTTTTCTCTTGGGAAACAGCAAATCCCATGTACCAGGCTAGCTGCTGCTCAGAGGACCTGGACCACTGGGTCTGAAGCCTCAAGGTGGAAGGTGATAGGGGGGCTGGGAGGCAGAGATGGATAATACCTGCTCTCCCCTACCCTAGTCACCAACCTGCCCTGCCCGAGCCCCTCAAAGCCATGTCAGGCCGAGGACAATGGTGTTCTAGCCCCATCCACATGGCTGCAGTGCTTCCTGCAGGGTCCCTTGGAAAATGGCTCAGCTCATTTGTGGGGCTTGGCCCCCCATACAGGGGTGACCCCTGGATAATGTATTCCAGGCCTCACTCTGCCTGTGCCAGGAGTTCGGTCCTATACATGGGGGACTGTGGGAAGGGGATGTGGCCTACCCAGCCTCCATTCAGACCAGGGCTGTGTTGCCCTCCCCAAGTCTGAGCTATTGGACTCAGACACTGCAGGAGACTTGGAGGGGCCAGTGAGGAAGGCTCTTGGAAGAAGAGGAGCCAGAGGTCAGTGAGGGGGCCCTGATGTGACAGGCAGGATGTGGCACCACCCAGGCTGGAGGATCTGAGAGGGTCTCAGCCCAGGAGTAAGTGTAGCCAGGAGCCGGGACATGGAGGACACAGAGCCCAGAGAGAGGTGATAGTTCCAGCCTTTCCCTCCTCCTGCCTCCACGTGGAGGGCTGACCTTGCTGAGGGCAGGAGGCAGGGGACCAGGGGACCAGGCACACAGGTCCACCATGCCAGCAAAGCTTGCAGGAAGAACAGAGTTGTACCCAGCTGCCCCTCCATCTAGAGCGTTCAGGGCAGCCCAGACAGGAGGAACTCTGGTGTGTGTGATGGCCCTCAGAGTGTTAGGGTGTGGCCACAGAGATGTTGAATCCGCTGGAGAACTAGCCAAAGGGCAACTCTCCATGCTAAGTAAAGACTAAAGTCCAGGGAAGCAAGGGCTGGGCCTGTCCCTAGACGTAAGCTGAGGACAGACTTCTCAGGTACAGTGATGGCTGTGTGGCCTTTGGCTGAGTAGCTATGGAATGTCCACCTGTGACTCATGCTCCAAGAAAGAAAAAAAAGTCCCAGGAAAGAAAAAAAACAAAAACAAAAAAACAGACCCAGGCGCACTCTTTCTCCTAGTGAGGGTGGGGCTCCCGCAACAGCAGCAGGTAGCACAAAGAAATTAGTCCCGGCCCTGCCCACCCTGAAGGCCCTCCCTGGTCCTGGCAGGGGGAGGAGTAAAGGAGGAACATAGTTGGTCCTGAGGACAAGGGAGGAGGGCCTTTCAGTTCCAAACCTGAGCAGTGGAGGGGAGCTGTGAGCACGGTACAGCTCCCCTCAGCACCTCAATGCCAGGTTGCCTGCCCCGCACCACCTAGATCCTGGGTGAGGAGCCCAGGCTGACAGCACTTCCAGTCAGTCACAGATCCCACCAGAGAGCAGGCATCCCCAGAGAGGACTGTGACCACATTGTGACTTTTGGCTGTCATCTCAGGCTGCGGCAAAGGCTGTGGCACCAGCCCAAGCAGTAAGCCGGCTGGGAGGCAAGGAGGGTGTGATCTTGAGGTCCCCCTTCTGGATTTGGGGCTATCCAGGTCTTCCGTGGAGGAGGGCCACAGGCAGGGCTTGAGAGATGCAGCCTTGGCCAGGGCCTTGGGCCGCCGCTGGCGTCGGCAACAGGAAAAGCCTCGCATTTGAGGCAGCCCCTTGACTAGCTCAGGCTCTGGGCTCCTGGAGTGTGCTGTGGGTGTCAAGGGGCCAGCTTTTGACACATGGCCCAGGTTGCCCTCAGGTGTCCCTGACACTTCTGCTGTGATAGTTTTATGCCCATTGTGCCCTGGAGAAACACAACGCTGGTGACAGTGACAGTGACTACCTACCAAGGTGATTTCCCTAAGGGTGGCTGCAGCAGCAGGAACTAAGATCCAAGAGGGGGTTGGCGTGAGTTAGGCCAAGTGCATATGGAGTAGACACCATGTGGGGCTGCAGGGAGCTGCAGGAAGGGGCCCCCTGAGCATGGGTGCCTGCATTCTGCACGCTGTGGGGTGTGTCAGGTAAGTACACCTGCACCCTGTTCCACATCATGGATCAGGCTTGAGCCTGACTTTGGGGCTGACTGAGCCTTCATGGGGGACCTTGTATTCTCGTGCAAAGTTGTGCAGCTTATCAGGGACTGGTCGGCTTCAGGGCTCTCAGTGTGTCCAGATCTACATGGCTTGAGTGCTGCTGCATATAGTGTGTTTCTCGAGGTGACCTGGAGATTCTCAGAAGCTCATCTCTGCTGCCAGGCCCTGGCCCCAGTGCCCTCTGTGTGACCACGCCTGGGTGCTTACATGTGTGTGCGTGCATAGAGGTGGGAGTGGAAGACCTTCAGGAAACAGGCTCATGAGGGTTCATGGACAGGTAGGGAATTGGCTGTGCAGGAGGCTGGTCTCCTGGCTGGTCTGTGTCTCTGTCTCTGCTTCCTTCTGGCATGGAAGACAAGTCCTCAGCATTCCCTGGTGCTAATCAGGGAACACTGGGGAGAGGACTCTGAATGTGCCCTGGAAGGGGGACTAAGAGTCAGGAGGGTGCTATGGGAAGGGTATTACGGGAAGGGTGTTCCCTCCTGATGCAGCGACCTGGAGCTGCTTCCTCTACCTGGGACGGGGCCATGTGGGCTGGGTGGCCCTAATGGTTAAGTTTCAGGCAAGATGTCAAAAGGAGATGGGCCCAGCCACCAGAAACCACCAGCACCTGTCATACTGATAAACCAGGCAAGGAAGGCTTCCCTGTGTTTTAGGAATATACAGAGATGCCAATATTTATCTATATCTATATCTATATCTGTATCTGTATCTGTATCTGTATCTGTACCTGTACCTGTACCTGTACCTGTACCTGTACCTGCGTCTGCGTCTGCGTCTGCATCTGTATCTGTATCTCAAAACACAAGTGCATCTGTCAGCTGTTCATCACTAGAACCAAAGCCCTGACAAACACCACCTACAAGAGGAAGGATTGGCTTGCTCATGGCTGCAGAGGATTCAGTCCATGGTCAGCTCACACTAAGGCAGAAACACTATGATGGTGAAAAAAAGCTACTCAACTCTAGCACCCCAGAAACAGTACAGGGAAACAGCACCAGTGAGGAAGAGGTGAAGGACCCCTACAGGACCCAGGGTCACACCTCCAGGGACCCACCTAGACAACCCAGAGTGTTCTGCACAAATCCCCTAGGCGGCACCCAAGCCTGTAGTGACGGCTTAACCTGTACCCAAGTGAAGCCAGGAGGTGGTGGGTGGGCACTAGGGCTCTAGCAGTACAGGTCGCGGAGCCCTGAGCTTGCTGAATGTCCTCCGGGTGCCGATGCTGTGAGCACATTTGGGAATGAGTGAATGAGATGAACTAGGGGCCACCCCAACAAGCGTGACCTTAATGAGCTCTGTGACCTGGGTGTGTCATGGGATGAGAAGGGGTGGAAGAAGGAGAGCTGCAGCTCCATGCCCAGAATGGAGGCCATGGCCTGAGGTGCATGGGGACTGGAGGCTACTAGTGTCCCGGTGACCTGTGCTAAGTTGGCACAGAGCTCAAGGGAAGAGCACAGTGAGGACAGTTCAGCTCCAGGACCCCCATGGATTCTTGTGAGCCAGTGCCTCATACGGCATGGAGCACCGGGCCAGGGGCCAGGGTCGGGCACTGAGAGCCGAGACTCTAGCAGAGGCCTGGGCATCGTGGGTGCAACTGGCAGAGATGACTCAGGGACCCAGGCTGTCAGACCCTGGCAAGGCTAAAATGCTCCAATTGACCACTGCAGCAGCCCACGGCTTCTGATCCCTGTGCTTTCTTCCTCCAATGTCTACAGGACAAGTACCAGGGGCCCCTCCTACCAACCAGCAGTCATGAGCCACTGTCCCATGGCCCCTCCCAGCCGGGTCTTCCAGATGTTCGGTGCCCTCCTGCTCCTGGCCGCCTCCCTGAGTGCTCAGAATACAAGTAGGCCACAGGAATCCCCCTTTCTGCTGGCGAGGAGCCAAGGGGACCAGGAAGGGGGGTGGGAGGCCAAGGTGAACCCCAAACCTGACCCAGGTCCCCAGTAGTAGCTCGGACCCTGCACCCCCAGGCGCTCTTGCAGAGAAGCAGGGCTGGTGGCCTGGATGGGAAAGGACAGGCCATTTTCCCAAGGATGACAGATGGCAGGTGTCCCCAGGAGTACCTGGCAGTCACTGTCAGAGCCCTGGCAAGGGGATACCCAAGAACATGTCTGGTTTCAAAGGAAGGGGAACCTGGGAGTTGGGGCCCTGGGCCAGGGAAGGTGCAGCTCCGAAGGACTGAGGGCCACCAGTCCAGTCACTGACCCAGCACTGCCCAGCAACATCTACATACCTACTAAGCCTTCAAGGACCAGAGGCTCAGGGGGTCAGAGTCCCAGAGATTTCACCGACACAGCCCTCCAGATCTGGGGATCGCTTAAGCCACTTGGGGACATCCCAGAGCAGCCTTAATGACCCTGGTGTCTTGGTCACTGACGGCCAACCTAGGACGGTAGGGACTCAGGGTCATGGCCCTCAGGACCCACATGCCCACCTCATACCCCACACGCTCCTGGTGGAACACACGGGGCGGGGGACAGTAGGAGTCTCCTGTAGACTGGCTGGCTTGGTAAATGGGGACAGGTTTGGGGTTCACAGGCCAGGGTCACACCAGCTCCCAGCTCCCACATCCCCATGCCTTGATTGTGCTCCTGCCCCTGCTCCTGCCCCATGGGAGTGGTACCACTGGGATCAGATCCAATGGGCAAAAGAAAAGCTCACTGTGTCCTTGGAGGCCCCAGCCCCCAGGACCTGCCCTCGAGGTGACCATCCCCCCACAGGGTGGGACAGGCCCACCTGCACGGAGGGCGTGGTTTCCGTGTCCAGGGGTGGGCGAGCCGTGCTGGCCTGCAACAGCTCCAACCCCTTCGTCTACATCACCATCCGCCTGTGCACCCACGGCCAGAATCAGACCATCTTCGACAAGAAGACCCCGGGAAACTTCTCCATGGGAGCCTGGCAACTCGAGGTGCGAGGGGGCTGGGCCCAGCTGGTGATCCAGCCCACCCAGGATGCCCACGCAGGGCTGTACCTGTGGCATCTGCAGGGACTGCAGAGACATAACAAAGAGACCAGGCTGAATGTCTCAGGTGAGGACTGTGGAGGGTAGAGGAGGGCAGGGAAGATGGGGGATCAAGGGTTTCAGGGAGGCTGAGGGAGAGGCTGCCTCCTCCTGGGCCCTGGGTTCCCTGTACCACAGAGACAGCCAGGGGCCCTTGCAGGCTAAAAGCCCCCCCCCCCCCCAACATTCTTTCCCTGCAAAAGCCCTGGGGCTCCTTTTACCCTCAGGCTCTCCTGTCCCCTCCCATCTTTGAGTCCTTCAGCTTTCTCTGGCCCAGGTGGCAGGGGCTGCAGTGTGGGCCAGGGGGGGACCAAGGAGCCCCAGCTGGACTCCTGCTGCCTGGGGCTGGGCATGTGTCTGGGCTGGTCCCCATCCTAACAGCAGGTCTCTTCTGCAGAGCCCCAAGAGCACGAGCTAGAGCGGGGTCCCCTGCTGTCCATGTCGCCAGGTACAGGCCCCGCTGTGGGCTCCTCTGCCTTTGGTGGTTCTGCTGCTGCTGCCCAGAGCCTGGGCCCAGGTGGCAGGGGCTGCAGTGTGGGCCAGGGCGGGGACCCAAGGAAATACGCCAGCCAAGAAATACGCCCAGCTGGACTCCTGCTGCCTGGGGCTGGGCGTGTGTCTGGGCTGGTCCCCATCCTGACAGCAGGTCTCTTCTGCAGAGCCCCAGGAGCACGAGCTAGAGTGGGGTCCCCTGCTGTCCATGTCACCAGGTACAGGCCCCGCTGTGGGCTCCTCTGCCCTTGGTGGTTCTGCTTCCACTGCCCAGAGCCTCTCACCTGGCCCTTTCACCCGTACCTCCTGGTGTCCCACATGGGTGACCTCACACAGAAGGGTGTGGGCAAGCAGTTGATAACTGTTGTGAACCTGACCAATGGGCAAGGTGAGGGTGCTGGAGATGCACATCCCGCCCGCTTTTTTCCAGCGCCTGTAGGCACCAAGAAACTGCAGGCTGTGCCCAAGGCCAGGCTGGGGTACAAAGTGGGAATCCCTGTGGCTGCTATCTTCCTGAGCTTCTCTCGCCCTGCCCCCTCCACCCCTGCCCTGGTCTCCTAGCTGTGTGGTACTGAGCAGAGTGTGTGGGGCTGTCAGGGTGAAGGGTTAAGTGCCAGTGACGATGACAGAGGCCCCCTACCTTTCTACTCTAGAACCCCGGCCTCCAGTGGGGGTGGTGGCGGCTGTCCTCTTTCTTGTCCTGGGCCTTGCTGGGATCATTGTGTTCACACAGTGCTGGCCACCAAGTTCCGGGAGATTCTACCAGGTAGGAGGCCCTGCACCTGCTTGAAGGCAGGTGAGGGGCAACCACCCTGGAAGAAATTCAGCCTTAGTCTCTTTGTGCCCAGATTTGATGCCCCAGCCTGCCTGGAATCCCATGGCCTCAGCACAAAGCCTCTAGGGTCCCTCTGTCCCCAAGCCCTCACCTCGGGCCCAGGACAGCCTGGAGGATGGCATGGGAGTGCAGGCTTCTGGCTCTTCCCAGGGCTCTCGGGCATTTGCATCAGAGGCAAAACCTGTTGTTTCTGAGCCCAGGAGGTGTCTGACTGGGGAGCCCTGGGAAGCGGGTTCAACCCCTATGGGCCTGACTGGGTAAGGGGAGAGTCTGTGTATATACCTGTGTGTGTGTGTGTGTGTGTGTGTGTGTGTGTGTGTGTGTGAGAGTGTGTGTGGAGGTCAAGTGTGGCAGGCTATGTAGGCTGTAGTGTTTGAGCTGCGTGGCCTTTGCCCGAGTCTGAGCTCACCCTGTCTCCCTACAGATGAAACCCTGAGCTAGAGCATGGCTGATGTGAACTCTCAGAGGAGCTCCAGGAAGGAAACCGTCAGCCCCAGTGTCCCTTCTAGTCTCCTGCAGGCTGAGCTTTGTGCCGGGGTCTGAGAGCTTTGTGCCCTTGCAGGATATTAAAGCTGACCTTGACCAGATCTTCAGGTGCATTACCACTCTTAACTATTTTGGGCAAGAAGTGACAGATTTCAGGAATTCCAACCACAGGGGAGTCTCAGAAATTGTGCCCAGTGTGCACATGGGAACCAGCTAGGAGCTGAGGGAGGGGTCTGGCCTGCATTGCCCCAAACCCTGACCTGAACCTCACTGTGACCCAAGAGGTACTGACCCATCTGCCTTGGGTGCAGGGTCATAGTCTCTTGGGACTCTTGGTTCCTGGTTCTGGAGGCCATGGGTACCACCAGGCAGTGTCCCAGGCCTCAGCTTTGCAGTGCCAAAGCAAGGTAACACGACCCTCTCCTTTTCCTGGGTCTGGAGGGGGCTGCCACGCCCCTCCTCTTCGCTTCCCTCTGCTCCCCTGCAGTCCTCGAGGAGGAATGGTCTCTGTGTTCTCCCACTACCCTGGGTTGCCTCATGGCCACTCTGACAGGAGGTGCAGCAGGCTTTGAGCTGTGGCTCCCACCCCCACTCCCACTACTTTTCTGAAGAAGAAGCAAGAAGGAAACCACCCATGATGTGGCATAGTCAGAAAAGGAAGGGTCTGGGCCCATGTCTACATCCCCAACCTCCCCTGACCCCAGCTGGTGACTGACAAGTGAGCTCTCCTGCAGCTCTCCTGGGTCAGCTCTTTCAGGTTCTGTAGAGATGTCAGTGACCCCAGGCACTCTGCTCTGGGGATATCAGCCCTGCCTGAATTTAAAGCAAGCAGTGGAAGTGAGTTTGGGCCAATCAGCAGGTCTAGGTTTAGACCATCACAGACCAGCAGCTGTTATGTAAGCAGCTGGTTTTGGAGGGCTCACTCTAGTGCACTGACCACCCTGTTTTGGGACACAGATCCTTTTCAAATAAGCAGTCTTGTAAATCCTCCCATTATGTGTTTCCAGTGTGGTATGGCCTCTGAAATCTACATGGGGTTCCTGTCTGCAGTAGGGTGGGCAGAGTGGTGGTTTCAAAGAAAAAACTGTAAACACTAAGCCATTGCTTCATGCAAAAAGCTCCAGAGACCAGCAACTGGCAGAGCTGACTCCCAAGTTCTGACACAAGCAACAGCACCCACAGCCTTAATGTCTGGCCAGTAATGGAGCTGCACTTTGCCAGTTCATGATTTCTGCCTGAATTGAGTAAAGGACTGTGATGCCAGCCTTGTTCTCAAGAGTCAGTGGCTGAGCAACCTCAGATGCAGAGCAAGCTTCTTGTGTGTTTTTTGTTTTGCACTAAAACAAAATGTGATGGTTTGGTAATTGGTTTATTTGGCTAAAGATTGCTGCCACGGGGGTATTTCAAAATACAGGATGTCCCACTAAAGCAGAAAAGCCCCTTTCTTCTATTTTTATTTTCCGACCTGCCCCAAATAATACAGCCTCCTCACTCATTGTTTGCAGATGCCCACAGTCACTTCCTGGCTCTGTATCCATACTTCTGTTACCCACCTGTTCCCCAAAGTCACTGGACCTGCCCTGCCCTATCAAAAACCTACAGTTGTGATTTGTACTTTCTGCCTGTAAAAGCCTAGTAAACCCCAGCCCACCAGAGGGCAGGGCCTGGCTTTCTTTGTTGTTGGGAGCCAGGTCCACTGGTGTAAAATAAAGCTGTTCAGTGTTTCCAAATCCTGCATGTCCTTTGGTGTTTCTATTTGCGGTAGCAACACATCCAGAAAAATTCTGTTTCTCTTGTGCATAAGAAAACACTCAAGGTACAGTTAGCATAAAAAAGACAAGCCGGGTAAACACATGTGAGCCCAAGAGGAATGGGGTGGGGTAAGCTGGGGTTAGCAGAAGCTCCCTGCGGCGGGCCCACTTTGCCCCCTGGTGGTGGGTATGGCACAGCACAGCTCTTGGGCCTCTTCCCATCCTGGTCCCTGGATCCCTGGCAGCAGGTTTGCCTGCCTTGTTACTGCTCTGGGAAGACGACTGTGGGCTCGAGGTCCGACAGAGGCCCCGGGCCTTTGGGGTCCGGCAGAAGGAAAGGTTCCCAGAGTCCCTGTTAAGAGGCAGAGGGTGGGGAGCATCCCGAGGCATTGGAGATGTTTCTGGATACTGAAAGAGGTGAAGGAACAGAAGGAGCGGATAAGAGAATGGGCCTGAGGGCCTGGGGTCAGGGTCTGTCTCCTGTCCCTGTGCGAGTGACCGAGAAGCTCACATTCCCATGTCAGCCTTTTTGTTGGACATAAATTTTCCGATATTGCAAACAGGACCAAGGAAACCAGACTTTTGAAAAGCTTTTGGCAAGGCTTTACCTCTGCAGAAGGTGTGTGGCAGGCTCGACAAAGCCAGCCAGCCCAGGAACAAGTAGGGACTGGGTTTTCTTCCCTGGCTCACTGGGCCGCAATGGCTGGTAAGAGCTAAGCTTTGCAGCCTAACATGATTGGCTAGTTCTCACAGTGTCCCTGTCACAGCTGCTGGGCAGACAGATTATGCGACTCAGGAATCTCTTTTGTAACAAAACAGATTCACAAAAAATTTATGGCTGTGTGCAGCTCTTTGTCTCAAGTTGTTTTTTTAAGGAATGATGAAACAAGCATGTGTACAATTTACAAAAATAGGATTTTGCAAAACTAGAGATTTCTATATCCCCTTTGACAGAAAAGGCTACCCTCCTCACACCTCAGTGTCCTCTGTCTCTGGACCCCTGTGCAATGTCCATGCACGCAGGCAGGCTCTCCTTTCCCAACAGTAGTGGACGGGGTCCTCCTAGCTTTCCAAGTGGCAGTTGTGGCTCATCTGGAACCCAGAGCATGGCCCTGGGCTCCAAAGAGTGCTGGATTGCAGCCACCCCACGCTGGTGACCTCACGCTGTGAACTGCAGGGGTTGTGATTCACACGCCTGGTGCATATACTCAGCTCTCGATGGACTCTGGTGCGTGGACTCTGGGGAGGGAGGTAAGGTTTGGTGGAGCTCAGACCCATGCACACAGAAAACCAGGCATGGGGCACACAGCTCACATACCACACACACAACCTGTGAACACAATGACACACGAACATATACACCCAGAACCTTTCCTTTCAGGCCTTGGTCTGAATCCAGGGGATTTGGACCCAGTCCTCCTAGGCTGAAAAATAATAGGTTTTTGTTCCTATTGTAAGTTCTCAGGAGTCTTGGGAGACCAAAGTCCATACTCCCAAGCTGCCCTCCAGGTTGTCCCGGGGACAAGGCGAGGGTTTGGGGACAGGGTCCCTGTGGGCCTGGCCTAGGTTGGACCTGTTTGTCATAGCTGCTGAGGCTCTGGGGGGAAGCTGCTGCCTGGGCTCCACACTACCCCATCATCCCCCCGGCCTCTGTGGTTGCAGGACGCTGGAGCAGTCTCGGACCAGGGCTTCAGGGAGACCCCGACACTCACCCCAGCCTGCCTGTACCAGGTGCTGGGCTTCCTACCTGTATGAGTCTCCAAATTTTGTTGAATGATGGTGGTAGCGCCAGCTGAGTAAGCCTGCAATCACCAGGATCAAGAAGATAGCAGCCACAGGGATTCCCACTTTGTACCCCAGCCTGGCCTGGGGCACAGCCTGCAGCTTCTTGGAGCCTACAGGTGCTGGAAGAAAGGGGGGCAGGATGTGCATCTCCAGCACCCTCACCTTGCCCATTGGTCAGGTTCACAACAGTTATCAACTGCTTGCCCACACCCTTCTGTGTGAGGATACCCATGTGGGACACCGGGAGGCGGGGGTAGAGGGGCCAGGTGAGAGGCTCTGGGCAGCAGCAGCAGAACCACCAAAGGCAGAGGAGCCCACAGCGGGGCCTTACCTGGAGACAGGGGTGGAACACTCCAGGGAGACGTGGACAGCAGGGGACCCCGCTCTAGCTCGTGCTCTTGGGGCTCTGCAGAAGAGACCTGCTGTTAGGATGGGGACCAGCCCAGACACACACCCACCCCAGGCAGCAGGAGTCCAGCTGGGGCTCCTTGGTCTCCCACCCCACCCCGCCCACACTGCAGCCCCTGCCACCTGGGCCAGAGAAAGCTGAAGGACTCAAAGATGGGAGGGGACAGGAGAGCCTGAGGGTAAAAGGAGCCCCAGGGCTTTTGTAGGGAAAGAATGTTGGGGGGGGGGGGCTTTTAGCCTGCAAGGGCCCCTGGCTGTCTCTGTGGTACAAGGAACCCAGGGCCCAAGAGGAAGTAGTCTCTTCCTCAGGCTCTCTGAAACCCTTGATCCTCCCTCTTCCCTGCCCTCCTCCGCCCTCCCCCAGTCCTCACCTGAGACATTCAGCCTGGTCTCTATGTTATGTCTCTGCAGTCCCTGCAGATGCCACAGGTACAGCCCTGCGTGGGCATCCTGGGTGGGCTGGATCACCAGCTGGGCCCAGCCCCCTCGCACCTCGAGTTGCCAGGCTCCCCAGGAGAAGTTTCCCGGGGTCTTCTTGTCAAAGATGATCTGATTCTGGCCGCGGGCGCGCAGGTGGATAGTGATATGGACGAAGGGGTTGGAGCTGTTGCAGGTCAGTACGGCTCGCCCACCCCTGGACGCGGATACCACGCCCTCCGTGCAGGTGGGCCTGTCCCACCCTGTGGGGGGGACGGTCACATCAAGGGCAGGTCCTGGACAGGGCTGGCTGCTGTCCTGGGGGCTAGGGCCTCCAAGGACACAGCGAGCTCTTCTTTTGCTCATCGGATCAGCGGTACCACTCCCAATGGGGCAGGAGCAGGGGGTGGGGGTGGGGTTTGGTATGACCCCAGGCTGTGAATCCTGAACCTGTCTCCCTGAGCCAAGCCAGCCAGTCTGCAGGAGACTCCTGCTGTCCACTCCCCCATGTGCTCCACCAGGAGGGTGTGGGGTGTGAGGTGGGTATGTGGGTCCCACCCAGGCCACCAGCCCTGCTTTTCTCTGACAGAGCCTATCCAGGATCCTGGCCACTACTAGGGACCTGGGTCAGGTTTGGGGCTCACCTTGGCCTCTCATCCCCCCTGCCTGATTCCCTTGGCCCTCCCCCAGCAGAAAGGCAGAGCCCCTGGCCTACTTGCATTCTGAGCACTCAGGGAGGCGGCCAAGAGCAAGAAGGCACCAAACATCTGGAAGACCAGGCCGGGAACGGCCAAAGGACAGGGGTGCATGACTGCCGGTTAGTAGGAGGCCTCTGGGGCCCCTGGTCCTTGTCCTGTAGACACTGGAGAAAGAAAGCACAGGGATCAGAGGCCATGGGCTGCTGTAGTGGTCAATGGGAGCAGCCGGCATGGTGCACGAGGGCTCAGTCTACAGCTTGTCCTGTTAACCAGAGCCCATGGCCCCCGGGGCTCACGCTGGGCTTGGAGGCCTTCGATCCTCGGGGTACACTGCCCTGTGCATTGTACCCAGGTCTTCTCTCATTTCCTATCCTTTCCTTGGTCCCTCACTCTCTCCCCAGCTGCCCTTCTGAAATGTCACGGGACTGAGACCCTTTACCTTCAACTGATTCTTGAGTTGTTTGGGGTTTGGTTTTTTTTTTTTGTTTGTTTGTTTTTTGAGACAAGGTCTCATTGTGTAGTTCAGGTGGGGCTTTTTTTTAATGCCTTTTTGAGACAGGTTTCACTATGCAGTTCAGGCTGGCCTCGAACTCATAGCAATATTCCTGCCTCAGCCTCCCAAGTGCTGGGATTACAGGCCTGTGCCACCATGCCTTGCTTAAATCTTGTTTTTATTTCAGTTTTGTGGGCTTGGTTGGAGGGCTGGGCATCAGGCATCTTGAATTTCAGACTCTCTGGAGCTTGAGGGCAAGGGTCTCCAGGCAGGTGTTGTGAGCAGGGCTGAAGGGGGCACTCTCACGCCTCTGAGGGCTGTGGGTGGAGCCCCTCCTACCCTGGGGTCCCTGGGCACCCAGGCCAGCACTGCCCACCTTCCCTGCTCCCACCCCGTAGAGACGGGGTGTCCCTGAGTCTGGGCTGAGGGAAGAGGGCAGTTCAGACTGCAGGGCCCCGGGAGCTGGGTGCCCTGAGTCTCCCATGGCTGGCTAGCCTGCCCCTTGAATGTGAAGCCCTCTCCCAGGCTATACTGCATCCGGCAGCTTTTTCTGTCACCATGTGTGCCCCTGGAAAAGAGCCAGCGATGGAGGAAAGGGGGAGGAAGAAGGTGCCCCTGCTGGGAGGCAGGGGCAGCCCCCCCTTCGCTAACCCTTTTCCGGTTTTCTCAGGAATTATCTGTCTCCTTATGTGTGACTTTTGCATGTTAAAGAAGCACATTGTCAGAGGGGAGGCGTGTTTGTCCCCCGTCAGTCATTGTTTTCGGGAACAAAAAGACTGTCAGTATTAATGTCCTCACCCATGTGCTTCACAGTTTTGTTTTAAAACATATCCAAAAAAAAACCCAAAAAAAAACAGGCAGCCAGGCCCGACATGTTGGCCTCTACCTGTAATTCCGGCCCTGGAGGGCTCAAGGAGCTTACTTGGGCAACTCAGTGACTTAGGGTGGCCCTGTCTCAAAATAACAAACATAAATGAACAAGAGGCTGCATAAGTCCTGCGGAGCCTGTGGGTCACCCGATCTTAGACTCTACCTGACAGTCATTTTGGGGAGAGCAAGTCACACATTTGGGGGAGAGCAGATCCCTGTTCGTGGAGATCCTGTCCCAGAACTGCCCCTTCCTCGAGGTCTTGCTGGCTGGCATCTCTAAGTGGTCCTCCAGGGGATGCCAGTGCCATGGTTTTGGTGAACAGCTTTGCCACCATCCTGACACCTGGCCAGGTAGGGGGCCCTCTAGCTCTTCATCTTCTCTTAGATCTGATTTCTGGCTAGAACATTCCCATCATTCTGGACTTTCTCAAAAGCAGGAGCTTTGCGAGCTGCCCAAACCAGCCCACATCAGCCCTGAACCACACTGAGGTGCCAGTGACCTTTGCCTTCCTGTCTCTGTGTGGCACTCACCAGCAGCTACCAAGATCAGTGAAACAGCTCAGCCCTGTTCCGTGCTGCTGGGAACCGTTCTGGTTCTAGAAAGAGGCAGGGCAATTCCTCCAGAGGCTGGGCTTGGTGAGACCTGTCCACATGGACCTCACCCTGGTGATATTTTGGCAGAACATTTTTCCTATATTGGAAGGTTCTGCCAGGACTCTCGACACGTTCCTCGTCGGCCCTGCTGGCCATGGACCGCGGTCAGTCCCCTCCCTGGCCTTCCTGCTGCCCCAGACCTGGCCTGCATGGGTCATGAAGCAGTGGGCTTCCTGGGGTGCTCTCCCACCCAATACTCATGGACAGGCCACACCTTACTGGGGAGGGTGCAGGCCTGGCCCACTGCCTGCCTCTGCTCCCTCAGGGGCTCAAGCCCTGGCACAGCTCCTGGAGGAAACCCTGACCCAGACCCACTGAGATTTCAGGCTTCTCTCCCTGCTGAGGCACAGCCTCAAGCCTGGACACTGGCAGGGAAGAGGGGGACAGCACAGGCTCTGGGCTCTTGCATGCCCCCTCACCCCACTCTAGTGGGACATGGCTCAGGATGCCCCCCAAACGCCCAGGTGAGCCATGTGGGCTCCTCGGGGTCTTGGTGGGATCCCTTGCCAGGCCCTGCATCTGCTCCCTGGGGGCTCTTATGTTTGGGCATCTGACTCTGGGACTGAGCCAGGACTAGCTGCAGCTGTGAGGGCTGGGCAGTGTGGGCAGCGGGGCCCAGCAACACTGCCTGGAGCAGGGGGAGCTGGTGGCAGCCACAGGGTCTGGAGCTGAGGGGCAGAGATAGGGCCAGCTCAGGAGCCAGGCAGCCACTTCCTCCAGATGGTGGTGAGCTGTCACCATCATCACTGCCCAACTGTCCCTGTGACAGGCTCCGAGCTCTCAGAGCTGTGGTACAGGAGCAGGACACTAAGCTCTATACTCGGCTGACCCTGAGGACCACCAAAGGTGACGTCAAACCCACCAGGGTGCTGTCTGCAGAGCCCAGGACCAGAGGGCTTCTCATGAGAGCACATGCATGGGAGTGACCCTGTGAGTATGCATATGCTCGTGCACGTGTGTGGTGTGCGTGGATCTGTGCAGACAGTGTGAGGAGTCCAGGAGTGCACTGGCCCTGTCTGGAACAGTAGGGCAGCTCCATCCTGTCCCAGGACAGCATGGTGAGCCTCTGCTGTTCCTAGAGCCCAGCTGAGGCCCCCACAGAGATGCAGGTCCCTCAGCTACCACACCCCAACTGCCTGTCCTGTCCCCTCTGCCTGCTCCGTGCCTGGCTAGTGACCCTGAACCTGCCTGGCTCCCTGCTCATCTCTGAGGTAGAGTGACAGGTGCTGAGGGTACCAGGAGTGCCATAGCTAGGGACTCCCTGGCCCCTCCAGGTCCCCCACCCCTGGAGCCCCTGGTCCCCTGAGTCCTTGCCTCCTGCCCTCCCAGCTACTCACCTGCTCCCTCCTCCCACGGGTCCAGGACCTCCAACTGCTTCTCAGCCTCCAGCTTCTGAACCTGTCCAGCCAGAAAACTGAGAGACCAAAGGGGTGGAGCCAGGAGAGGAGGAGACAGAGCTGCAGGGCTGTCCCAGACCAGGAAGGAGGTGCTTCTGGGAAGAACTGGAGTTCAGGAATCTGCTGTGTTCACAGAAGGCTCCAGGAGTTTCCTGGGGTGCCAGTGCTAAGGGGTTTCTGTTAGAATCTGTCACTAGCTGCTCACAGAGAGGAGGTGGGCAGAGAGAGGCAGGAGGCATGTCCAGGACAGCAGGGCAGGGCTGGTCTTTGCTCAAGGATCAAGGAAGTGTCTACTTGCCCCAGATATCAGGGCCAGCAGGACCCACCTTGTGCTGGGGACAAACAGAGTGAGGAAAGCAGCGTGGATGCCTGGTCCCCTCTGTGCCCAGGGCTGAGTGGTGGGATGGGGAGGGGGTGGCACTGGGTGTGGGGCAGGGACACAGAGCAGGGTGGGTAGTGGGCAGCAGGAAGCATGAGAGTCCCAGCCCTGTCCTGCCACCCCTGCTCTGTCCTGCTCTCCTCTGCTTCCTCCCCATGAGGGTCCTGGGCTCTGCAGACAGCACCCAGGTGGCTTTGACATCTCCTATGGTGGTCCTCAGGGTCAGCCGTGTACACAGCTTAGTGTCCTGCTCCTGCACCGCAGCTCTGAGAGCTCGGGAGCCTGTCATGAGGGCCATTTGGGCAGTGTTGGTGGTGACAGCAGAGCTGGTTGCCCTTGGGCCACTGAAGGAAGTGGCTGCCTGGCTCCTGAGCTGGCCCTACCTCTGCTCTCAGCTCCAGACGCTGCAGCTGCCACCAGTTCCCTGTCCTCCAAGGCGGGGCTGCCAGGAGCCCGGGCACTACCCACCCCTCCCAACAGCAGCTTCTTCCTGGCCCAGCCCTGTCCTGCCCCTGAGGGAGCCCAAGCCAGGGTACCCCGGAGCCAGCTAGCCACACTGCAGGAGTCCTTGCACAGCACATGCAGGACCTGAGAAGGGTCCCAGAGTGCAGTACCAGGAGATGGGCTGGGAGACTTGGACAGAGTGTCTGTCTCCAGGCTGAGTGACCTGGGGGAGTGACTGGGCAGTGACGTGACTTGTGCTCCCAAAAGCCTCCAGGAGTCCACTGGTCAGCAGTGCCAGGGTCCAGAGCTGGGCAGCAGAGGGCAAAGGCCTCAGTGCATCTCCAAAGCAGTAGCTTCTCCTAGAGCTACCAGAGTGGGAAGGGCACAGAGGCCAGAGGCTAGGCCCCACCCCAGGGAGCACCCAGAGACCCAGATGTCAGCAGGGGTGGAGAGGCCACTACTGACCAGCCACCTTCATGCCCTCTGGTCATGCCCACCTATCTCCACTCCTGGCCAGGCTTCTCTGTGAGCCCACAGCCCAGAAACACAGGCTGGGGCTCAAGGCCAGGACCTCCTGGGCTTGTGTTTGGACCAGGGCAGCCAAGGGCCAGGGCTGGGAGGCAAATGCATCCCAGAGCTCTTCGGGGTTCCAGCCTTTCACCCACACCCCCTGAGATACCCTTGGGAGTTGTTTCCCATGGGCATCCTCCTAAGGTGCTTACACATTGTGAAACTGAAACCACTTTGTGCATCTGGACTGAGGCCAGGACAAATCTTCAAATTCTCTGCAGAGACGGGACCCGCACTCTGATTCCATTGCCTGTCCTCACCTTCCGGGCTTGGTGTGAGCACACACACACCTTGCATGTCTCCTCCAGCGTCTTTGCTGCCCTGTATCACACCTCCCTTTGCCATAGAAAGCCAACTTTCAGAAGAGCTAGTGGGAAGGAGATTCGGGTTCATTGAAGGTCTAGCCTGAGAAGGTGGAGGGGGCTGTCACCCTCAAAGCTCCATCTCAGGGAGCTCAGATATGCAATAGGGTTTTGTAGGAAGGAGAGGAGTTTAGTGGGACAGAGGTACTGTGTGGCTCTAGCGAGGACGTGCCAGTCATGCGTGCATCTGCTGGGTGATTTCCTCAGCACAGCTGACCTGACCCTGTGGGTCTAGTTCCTGTATGTTCTTTTGACAGGCACATTACCCTTTTGTACAGAAGTAATGAGGGGTGAGACAAAGAATGGAAAGACCTTTCTTTCCACTCCACGGGAGAGACACGCAGAGAATGCAGGACCTCTGTCGGTGGACAGAGGGTCGGGGGTTGTGTTCTGGGTGGGGGGGTCTGCTTAGCTGACAGTGATGGATTATTGCTACGTGTTAGTGCGCACAGGTTGGGGACAGAGGAATCTTTGGCATGTACAGGAAGGAGAGGTGGGAGTCTGGCTTGGATCAGAAAGAAGAAGTTTGATAAGATGTTCTTTGTGGTTTCTTCACCATGATGGACTTCCTATGCAGGACCGTGTGGATGAAAACCCATCACTTCATGCTCATGCTGCCTAAAGGTCACCAGATACTGAGGGTTCGCTGAATGTCAGGGAGCACTCTTCAGCAGGTAACATCTTAACTATTGAGGGGTGGATTTTTTTTAGAATTTAGGGTACAGGGAGGAAGGAGTGGTTACCATCATGGTGACTCTTTGGCGAGTTCAACACATGTCACTGGACTTGATCTTTTCTACCCCAACAGTCCTATTTTAGTCTGTGTTGTCCGATAGCGATAAAGGGACACCTGCTGCAGGTGTGCAAGCCCAGCAGGGCGAAGGGAGTTAAAGAGGTCTCTGCTCAGACCAGGTGCAAGAGGCAGGGCTTTCAGACATGGCGGGCGGTGAGGGTTAACTGCTCCGGCATCACTGGGGGAGATACTGGAAATTTAGGCCGAGAGGCTTAGTGGAAGGGAGAGGTCACAAGGGCGTGACCCTGGGAACTCTCTTGTCCCTGGCCTCTCCCTCTGTTTCCCTACTGCTGTGAAGTAAGCAGCTTTTCTCTCTCACTCCCTTCTGCTGTGATTTTTCTACCGTGGCCCAGGCCTAGAAAAAAGGGAGCCCAGTGATCAGGGACTGAAACTGTCGATGTCCGCTCCCGGCCGGCAGGAAGGACACACGACAAAGTCTGGCAGTGGACAACCTTTTCTTTTATTTTTCTTCTCCGTACAGCCTGCCCTGGGATCGCTCCCAGCCGAAGCCTCCTCTGGTCCGCTCCCCGCGGCTCCTTTTGGGCTTCTACTTCCGGGCTTCTCTCTCCCCCCCAGGGGTGGCACCAGTATATATACGGATACAGTGTCCAATCATGTTAAAGTGAGCAAGGCAAGCTGATTGGCTAACATCATCAGTTGCCAGGCAGACTATATTGTTGAGCGGGTTGCTTACGCGGTAAGCAGGAAACTAACGTGCTCGATGGGAGGGGTAATCTACCTCAGGCTTTACTCTTTACTACAGGCCTCACGTCCGCCAAGTGAGGCGACCGGGCTCGGGGCTGCGGCTCCCAACATCTCCCCCTTTTTTATTTTTTATGAATGTGCGCATCGTAGCCCTTTCTGGACTGGGTGCAGAGGCTTATGCCCTATGCGTAGGCCCACCGTAGGTCCTTGGCTTAGACCCTGGTCGGCCGTCCCATGGTCTGCCAAGGCCCTGAGGCCCTCGTCCTTTTTCTAGGGCCAGGCACAAACTGGACGGAACCTGGATGCACACAAGCTTGCACTCATTTCCTCTCCGTAAAGAAATCCCCTCGGAGAGAAATTTAGACCTGGGCAGCATCTAACAGTCCAGCGGCTTACGTGCAGGATGGGGTAGGGCCTGGCTTAGGTTGAGTCGCACCGGGGGAGTACGCTCTTACCCGTCATTGACTCTCCTACCCAGCTATGTCATAATTTTTTAGAGGAGGAGTGTGGGAAGCTCACCGTCCCTAGACTCGGTCGTAGGCTAGGCGAGCGAGCCATGCATATGCCTGAGGATCTTCTTGTCCATTTCGGGCTACCGCTATTTCTATTCATCTTGTTGGTTGGTCTGTGATGGATCTCCGGTAGGGCAGGTCTGATCTTCAGTCAAGGGCTTTGTCGCCCGTGTCAGTCTCTCCGGTACCCACAGTGGTTCTCGTCCCGATTCCTGTGGGAAAACACAAACCGCGCCTCGGTTCCAGCTGACCACTGGATCCGGGCCCATCCATTGTCCTGTCAGGACATCTTTCCACTTCACCCACCCTTTATGGTTGGGGGAAGGGTTGCAGTGCTCCACAGCTGGGGAGCAATTATCATTATTTAAATTTAAAAAAATTGTGTGTGAATAGTGCCATGGATAATCGTGCCTTTGGGGCCAGGCCTTGGCCTACTCCCCCTTTTTGTTTTTGTAAAATTTTTTTGAGGCTTTTATGAGCCCTCTCAATGATTTCTTGACCTTGGGGATTGTATGGGATACCATGTTTTAATTGAACCTCCATCATTTTGCAGAACTCATTGAAGGCTTTGCCTATATAGGCTGGTCCATTATCAGTTTTTAATATTTTTGGTTTGCCCCATGCGGCCCAAGCCGCCAGGCAATGATTGATCACATTAGACACTTTTTTACCTGTTTCTGCTGTTGCAAATATGACGTGAGAACAGGTGTCTGTGGAAACATGAACATATTTAAGAGTCCCAAACTCCTGTATATGTGTGATGTCCATCTGCCAAACATCACCAGGGATCAAACCTCGAGGGTTTACTCCCATCGGTATGGCAGGTTTGTATGTGGCACAGGAGTCACATAGTCGCACGATATCTCGTGCATCTGCTCTGGAAACATGGAAATGGTTTGTTAGTGTTTTGGCATTGACATGAAACTTATCATGGAAGGCACGGGCTCGCTCGATTGGTGTTAGTAAGGTAAAAATCCATAACGGGCGAGTGGCAGTATCAGCAGCCGCATTCCCCTGTGCCATAGGCCCTGGCAGGGATGTATGTGCTCTTATGTGGGTGGTGAAGACCTTATGGTGTCTGTTCTGAAGCAATGTCTGGATAGACAGGAACAGCCCAGCCACTGTGGAAGTGGATCTAATTAAACCGGCAGTCTCAAGCACTTGCATAGCATTGACCACATACCTAGAATCGGAGACAATATTAATGGCTTCTGAGAACCGTTCAAGAATCATTTTAACGATCTGCAGTTTCACCACCTGAGGCTGATCAGGTTCAAATTGTATGGTAACCGGGGGCTTGCCTAGGATCACATAGGCGCCTATCCCC